CTCTTTCATCTGGGTCTGCTTTTTCTGATCATTTTATCTCTGGGACATGGTGCTTCGTTCTGTGATTTTCCTTAAAAACACAAGATTTTATGTAAGACACTAGTCACTGGTGCTTGCAAGTAGCTATCCCTCTCCTTCTATGTGGCCTGTCACACAAGTGATCTTTAATAGCATGGGAAGGAATTAATCTGTTAGGAAAGGCAGGATTAGGCTATGCCATGGTTAGCCTTAGTGGACCTCAGGCTTCATATTTTGAGTATCTGCTCCATCCTCCGCATTTGCTCTTCCCCTTGAGCTGCCTAAGAATCTGCTTGGCAGAGTTCTCCCAGTGATAATCCATTGTGACTGACTCAAAGCCTGCTAGTGGCGAGGCTGGTGTTCTGATTATGCCTCAGTCCTCAGAGCCTAGTGGCCTAGATCTTCAGCCTGTGACTTTCCCCCAGTGGAGGTTGGCTCCAGCACTGCATCTTTAGGGTTCTCCGAAGGTTCCAAGAGAACTGATTAAATGCCTAACAAGAATCAGGCTAGTTAGGTAGTTGAGTGGGGAGCATATTTGACTTTTTTGGGTGGAGCCTGAGTTGGAAGTGGAGATACAAAACATAGAAGCTGTGTATAGCCCTCCTTTATCCCCCTCTCCTTTTTTTTTTTTTTTTTAAACACATTTCTCCCTTAGTAATGCCTCTGTAAAGAATTATGGGAATAAAGGAGAAGAAGGAGCTCAAAAGAGGTGGGACCATAGCATATAAAAATTTCAAGGGAGAAATGGGTAAAATGGGGACAATTTAAATGGGAAGGGAAGGGTGGGGAGGGAGGATAAGACAGGGAGAGAAAGAGGAGACATAAATAGTGCCTGGCCAGTATAAAGAAACCAGAGGGAATTGTATTAGTCCAAAAACCTACCAAAAAATTACACATACAATATCTCTATATGAGTCAATAAGTATAGCTGAAGGCTATATAATAAGAAACAGTGCCAGACAGGAGAAACCTTCCTTTGAGTTGTTAGCCAGAGTAGTCTAAGAGACTCCCAAAATTACACAGGCTATTGCCACAGTCCTGGTAAGACCCTATTGCTGAAAACAGAACATAGGATTTGGAGCAGTGGAGCTGGAACTGACCTGGAAGCCACCTCTTCTGAAGGCTAGCTCTCATAGCTTTAGAGAGCACTGTGCAAGCTGGTATATAATTGATGGTCCAACCATAGCTTCAAGGCCTAAAAACCACATCAATGACCAGCACGGCAAACGACAGTTGATGCAATAGTGGCACTTTTATCTTGGAGGTAATCAACAACTACCTAATTAGACTTAAAGCCCACTCAATGGGAGGAAACTCATGTCTGGTACTGTAAACCTAGCCAAATACACATGCTGGAGAAGTCATAGATCTTAGAGAAAACCCTAGACAAATGTAATTTCTTACTATGTGAAAAATAGGAATCCTTAAATTTACAGACAAGAATCCACCCATCAAAGTAGCTTCTTTTTCAACAGACAGAGATTATTACAGAGTTACACCACTGGTCACACACAGAGATTGTCTATGAAATGCTCAAGCCTAAGTGGCACATTTAAGATGCAACTAGATCTACACCTAAGACTCACGGAACAGAACAAGGGATAAAGAGAAGACTAATGCATCTTTCAGTTCTTATCAATGACGCTCCCTCATGCAACAGAGGGCCAGGAACACAAAAGGCCACAAATGGCCAAAATGTAGAGAATAAGAGTCGGCAGAGTGTGGGTCCTTGGACAGGACTCCTATATTGAGGTCCACCCACCCAAGGCTCAGGGACCATTGCAGAAGAAGGGGTGGAAAGATTGTAAGAGCCAGGGAGGAGGTACATGTCCATACAGAAATAGTCCTACAGGTGCCTGGGACCCTTCTCATACAAATCTACAATAATGGTGTCAGCATGCACAAGACCCATGCAAACTTAGGGAGACAAATCCCATCACAGAACTGTGGAAATGAACAGCAAGCCCCAATCTTAGTCAAAGAATTATTGGGAGCTGATTACTGCTGGGTGAGGAAGAGCTGATCTTCTT